TCAGCACAACAGAATTTAGAAACGCGTTCCTGAGGACTATTCGACAAATAATTCGAGAATCGGTGCGAAATATGAGTATACCGACGACGAAACAGAATCTCAGTCAACCGCCGATGACGATTTCGCCGCGAATGTCAACCGGCCATGTAGACAAATTTGAGAAACAGCCGGTGAGTCAAGGACAAAATAGCGGCAATAATGGAGCGGCGGGAGTCGTTGTTGGCTCGTTATCAAAGAAGGTGGTTAAACCTCAACCGTTATCTTCTTCGCATAATGTAAAACGAAAATACAGTCACTCAAAACAAACGGTGGAGCACGAAAGTTCCGAAGACAAGGACGTGGAAGAACAAAGCACGGTGAATCAACAGCAAACTATGTTTCGCTCCAGAAGCAAGACCATAAGCGATACGTCCGGTAAGAATGTACCTACTAGCTCGTCTAGCGTACTTGAGTTCTTTTTCTTTTTTTTCTGTCGCGTCCTGAAAATTCGACGCTTGCGTTTGAACGTACATACGCATACATAGAACGTATTGCACTTGTTTTGCATATCGCAGGAGAGATGAAGCTCGAGATGGATTCAGGGACGAAATCCGAGGGAGAGGAAGACTCGCAAGCTTTTTTAGGTGAGAAGAAGGCGAATTTGGGCCGCACTCCGAATCATTTGACTTTGAGCACCACTTCAACCATTTCAGCAGGAAGTACGGGTAGTCAGGCAAGATTAATCCAGTCCTCTCATCAACCGGAAAACTATCAACCTATTACTGTGAAAGAGCTCGGTAAGAAACAAGTTTAGCAAGTTTGAGAATCTACGCTAAATTGAAATAATATTGTATTTCGATTGAAATTTATTTTCACTTGAAATTGTTTAATCATTGTACACGTTTCAATTCTATTTCTTGTTTTATTCTATTCTATTCTATTCTATTCTATTCTATTCTATTCTATTCTATTCTATTCTATTCTATTCTATTCTATTCTATTGAATTGAAGGTTCACCGATCTGGAAACCGCGGGAATTATCCTCGTTTGGAGAGGCCACTACGCTACCACGTAAGGGTAAGTCGGCCAGCGAGTTTGGGGATATAAGCTCATCTCACAGCGCTTCCCGAAAGTCTCTGATAGAAATCAATAACTGTGCTCAACAATCTAATTATAATAACAACAACGTTTAAGTTAAATAGTTGTTAAATGGCTAACAAAGTATCAAGTTAAGTTTAAAGACCGTGAAGTAAATCAAGTAACTATTATACGTACATACATACATACATACATACATACATACATACATACATACATACATACATACATACATACATACATATATTCGATTATCGTGGAAAGACTAACGCGCTTGCCGCCCACGCGGAACGGTTCGACACTCTTTTCGTTTACTTTTCTGCTGTTTCTCTTCTCCGTCTTTTTCATTTTATTATCGACAAGCTACGTCGGAGGACGTAGTAGCATTCCATTTCTATACAACGAACGATTCAACTGTTTAACAGGAGAGAATTTTCAAGAAGAGAGCGAGCTTCGCTTTTAACGGGAAAATATCTCGACGAAGAGAGAACATTTCGATCCTTACGACTGACAATGAGAATTATTACAGAAGATCTTTCAGATTCTTCTGTCCTTCTTCTTTCAACTGATTCGAATATTTTCGGTCAACTCGAAAATAATGGATACGCGATGCAATTGCGTTGCAACATCGCTACGATCATCCGTCACACTTGTACTAATGCTCGAGAAATTCGTTACTCGTACCGGTTGCGTAAAGAAACGTAACTGAGATAATACCTGATATTATTTAACATGCAGCGCAAGGGTGGGGACAAGGGTGGGGGTGGGAGTGGGGGGTGGGGGGTGGGGGTGAAAGTTCCACATCTCCAGATAACAATATGGAAAGCGTTGGAGGATTCGCGTTAAATTTTCATTCCGAGATTCTATTTTTCACCTTCGCTAGTTGTTGCTGTTGTTGTTGTTGTTGTTGTTGTTATCATCGTTAATGTACCCTCTGATACATGCCATAGCCATACATACGAGATTACCATCGAAATCATTCAAAGTAACGGAGCCTTTTCTGCGAATGATCCATTGAATGATTAATTGGTTAGAAACAGCCGACTTTTCATTCGATTAGTATCACTACGATTCAAACATTATTCTCAATTGTTTTTCTTTCTGCGTGGACGGCAATGCGGTTAGAGAGTAATAAACTCTGTATATAATGTAATAATGATATCATTGATATCAAAATTATTATCATTATTATTATTATTATCATTATCATCATCATCATCATCATCATCATCATCATCATCATCATCATCATCATCATCATCATCATCATCATCATCATCGTCGTCGTCGTCGTTGTCATTGTTGTCATAGTCGTACTCATCTTTATCTTAAACGTAATCATTGTCATTATCGTTAATGCCGTCAGCATCGTATTTATCCAAAATATTGTCAATATCGTCAGTATTGTTATTAGCATCATCATCATCATCATCATCATCATCATCATCATCGTCATCATTATTATTTATTATCGTCGTTATCATAATCATCGTTATTAATGTCATAATTTATATAATTAACATTATTGTCGATCTTCTATTATTATTATTATTATTATTATTATTATTATTATTATTATTATTATTGTTGTTGTTGTTATTATTATTTACATATTTATTACCGCTGTTTCATTTCATATTATTTCAATTTTTACTGTGACTACTACATATTATTTGAGCTAATTAATGTTGCACATACTAATACCACCACCATCATTCCCCCCCCCCAATCCTCCTGCTACTACTACTACTACTACTACTACTACTACTACTACTACTACTACT